GTAGGAAGACACCCCCCCTCCCCACATTGGAATCAGGTTTGGAACCTGAAAGGAGTTATAATACTGTTATACTGCTGCAAAACTGTTGTTATATAGGAAAATATCATTACACTCCCCTACTGGGAGCCACTAGAAATAAAGTAGACTTGGGCAAACACAAAGGTTTGAGAGACAAGCAAGCATTAGGCTAGAGTTGAATAAAGTTTATCTCCTACATGACGTCACTCCTTCAAGAATGCAGGAGGTGACTTTTATATAATTCATAAAAAACCATACAAAGAGTTAAGGAAAACAAGCAGATGATTATGCTCCAAATGGAGAAAATAAAACTTCAGAAAAAGACCTTAATGAAAAGGAAGTGATTTACCTACAAATAGTAGAAAGTAATGGTCAAGAGATTTCACCTCGCTCAGAAAGCTGGATAAGCAAAGTAAGAAAGTACCCAACAGAGAAGTCACGGAGCTACATGATATAATAAGTGAGCTGAGAAATACAACAGCAGGATTCAACAGCAGCCTAAAGAAAAATAAAGCATCAGTGAACTTGAAGAAAGGGCAGTGGAACTTACCCAATCAGGGCAGGAAAAAAAGGGAAAGAAAATACATTTAAAAAATGACTACAGTGACTCTTGCTTCATGGATTTATGCTTCCCATGGTTAAGAAGGAAAAAAACCACACTCAGAAAGTTAAGCGCATTCTCAAGCGTGGGGTCTAGACACTCCCGGTTGGGACAGAACCCCTAAAGGAGGCCAGTCCCTGGGGAGGGAGGGTGGGAGCACCTCCACAGCCACAGGAATGAACTCTGGGTGCCGCACACACCTTGCTCTCCTAGAAGCACAGAAGCACTCCGTCCCCCGGCTTCCATTCTCACCAATAAGGACACAGCCTGATCCAGCTCGAAGTTCTGGCCCAAATCAACTCCCAAATCCATAATCCTTACATCCAGGAGACAGAACTCCTCGTCTTCACAGACTTCAATGTGCACAGAACACCGAGTGCAGCTGTAACATGGATGCAGAAGTCAGACATAACAGGTAAAAATGTCAAGGAAACCCCCTTTGCAGGCTCAAGACTGGCCTTAGTTTGGAGTCACTGGCCTCAGGCCTCTGCTCCTCAGTCATGATACATTGGCCTACAATGGTTTATTTAAATCACATAAACCCAGAGTTTCAAGAATCCACCAAAATCACTCAAATCCAATGGTTATGTATAAGAGGAAAGGAAATCGTAAGGCAGTTTTACTACATCAAAAATACTGACCCACAAATTGGTATTCTTATAAGGAAATGAAGATGTCAGTTAATATTATTGCCAAGAAAAGAAATTGGGGGGGATTAAAGATGGCGGCGTGAGAGGAGAGACAGAGGCTTCCTCCTAAAACTGGATACAATTAGAAAATACAGTTGGTGCAACTATCCTGGGAGAGCAACAGGAAAGAGGACTGCGCCAGACTGCACACACCTGGAGAAAAGAGCAGACCTCAGCGAACGGGGGACGTAACGGAGCCGTGACCCGGCGGGACCCGAGCCCCTCCCCCGCCCCAGCTCACCGGCGGGAGGAAGAGAAACGGAGCAGGGAGGGAGTGGAGGCCTGGGGCGGCTGAATACCTGGCTCCGGAGATCTGCTCTGGGAGCACAAACCTACATTTCATGGTGCTTTCATGAGACTCGCATGACCACCGGGTTGGAAAGTTAATACAGGCAGAGTTCCTGGGGAGACTGGGATTCCAGCCACTTGTGGAAAGCAGGGATCCATACCCGGCTGCTCTGGGACAAAAACTTATTCCTGTGTGCCCGGCCCACCGGCTCAGGCAGTGGAGACAGGCACAGCAGCCGGGAGGCAGGGAACAGCTCTTCCCCCCACCCCAGGCACCAGTACCGCTCCTGCAACCCCCACATTGCTTCAGGGACAGAGCAGTTCCAGAGACTACAGCTTCTGGACACTAGAGGGCGCCATATACAACCATGAAACGCCAAAGGAACCTTGTCCAGAGTAAAATTATTAATACAACTCCCGAGAAAGATTTAAATGATATAGGACCTTGTGACTCTTCCTGAAAATAGGTTGATTTGTAAATAAATAATCATGTTGAAACACTTCCAGATGTTGTAAGTCTAGGCCTGATATGCCATTTGAAATCACCCAAAAGAGAAAAAGCACACCCAAGAATATTACTACACGCACTTACGGGAAGAAATAAAACAAAAGTTTTAACAAATGGAATACAATAAAGAAATTTATTCTGAAATTCATCTCTTTCTTGACTGGAAATACTTCATAACTGAATCTCAAGGTCTATTGATTAAATAAACTTTAAGTATATTGAAAAACGAAGTTTCAGATAAGTGAATAAATCTCTTCAAAATGATAAAGCGGGGGTTGGGCAGAGGTGGCAGGACAGATCGCCCAGGAAAGGCTCCCAGGGGAACCTCCACCCACCGGACTTCCCAGAGGATGTCTGTGCCCAGGACAGATGCTGGAGAAGCACAAGGATTTCATGCAAGGTAATACCAGGAGGTCATTCTCTCCTTCCCTCTTACGTAAAATGCACACAAAAATAAATATTTGAAAAGGGCCATCCAGGAGAAATGACAAACGAGTCAAATACTGCACAGTTGGAAATGCACCACGGAGGGCAGAGAGTTAATAATGATGCCGGGAACTGGAGATGGTGGGAAGATGGTGTTTCAGAAAGTGGGGAAGGATCTGGAAACCTAGGGATTTAATGCCAGCCCTAGGAACAGCTAGGCTGGGGGGACCAGGGTTGTGGGCTTGAGAACCTGCTTCCCAAACATTTGGGAAAGTGAGGGGAAAACAGTGCCCTGGGAAATGCGAACCCCACAGACCACAGCTCCTCCCACACACGAACCCCAGGGGCCAAGTCACGACTGTGCCCTGATGACCCTCCCCGTGGTCACCCCAATGTGAGGGTGACGTGGCCTCGAGCAGTGAGGGAACAGTTCGCCCGGGTCCCGACTGCCGCCTGAGCCCATGCCGCAGGGGACCGAGGTCCGAGTGGCGCCACCGGTGGGCTCGGGTCCACAGGGTCTGGAGTTGCCCATAGTGCAGCCGGTCCCGCCACGATCGGGTCCAGCCTGTGCACCGTCCCTGTCGTGGACACCTGGTCCTGCACACTCACCATTTTCCGGTTTCTGCGGCACTGGGGGGTCCACCCTGCGACTGCCGCGCGATGCCGGTCACTGTGACACAGGCCTTGGTGTGGCTACCTGAAGCTTTTCTGGACACTGAGAGACGATCTGGGCCAGAAAGAACCAGGAGCGACAACCCTGCAGCCCGCAGCCCACGCCGCCCACGGCGTCACAGGGCGGCAGCGCCACACGCACGGGAGCGGCGACTCCCCTGATTGGACAGGCCGCATGGCCCCGCCCCCTCTTGTCTGGGAGCGGCCGGAGGTCGCGGCTTTGGGCCGACTTTGCCTGCGCACAGGCAAGGAACCTGCACTTCCCTTCCACCCCGGGGACCCTGCATGAAGGCATAACACCGTCACGCCGCGGAACTGTGACCGTCTGTCACACACACAGACACTTCTGACCTCACCACACGTAATGAGTCTGGCTCCCCTTCATCTTTGACCAGCTGCTGTGGGAGACAACGCCCCTGCCCCCAGGGGACTTTACAGAATCCCGTGGCCCCCGGAGCGCTTGGCTCTGATGGGGGGGAGGATGTTGGAACCCCTCAACCCTGGTGCAGGCCTGATGCCTCAGATCCTCAGGTGTGGGCGACAGAGGCAAAGAAGCCACCAGAAAACCTGTCAGTGTAATTCCACTAATACTCACCTGTTCAAAGGTCAAAAGAGGCAAAACTGCCTGGTTTTAAGAACATTGCTTAGTGAAAAGAGGAGGTGGTAAAGGTATGAAGACTAAAGGGGGTTTGGACAGCAGTCCTCTGAGGGGCGGTTGGGAGGTGAGTCGTGGAGGGGGCGTCAGGACACCGCCACCACTGCCCAGACTGCTGAATCTGGATGGCGGTTCCAAGCATATTCATGTTCTGAATCCTAACCACAAAACATTTTGTACATTCTTTTCTGAATATATTTGATGATAAAAATTTCAAGAAGAAATTCAGCTTGGAAAAGAACATTATTTGTATGTCTGTCCTGTAAGTGGCAATCTAATTTCACTTAGTTTTGGCAGTAAAAATTGGTAACGTGACCACTGTCAATTTAGGAAGACTGGGTTATATAAACTCATCGTCATGGGTATACAAAGGGTGGCATGTATTGATGTGTAGTATTTACCAATAAAACAATTAGGTACAGTGTATTTCACTGTATACACCATATCACCCCCTCTATAACTGTTATGATCACCTGCACAGGTGGGCCCCCAACCTAGGCTTGGCTGACAACACATTCCTGCCAGGAACATGTGAAAGGGTTTATGACTTCAAAAGTGTGCGAGGAGAGCAGGGCAACCTCTCCAGCCCATGGAGCCTGCCTTCAGGGGGCAAGGGGCACGCCCTGACCTGGGCACTTTGCTGGACTCGGGGTGGGCTCGGGGGAGAGTCTGTGCACAAGGGCACTGGATTTCTTGAGTGCCAAAGCAGTGAGCTGCTAGGCTCTCTGACCGCTTGCATGGGTGTGGGAACAAGGGAGAGGAGGAGGGATGAGGCCTTGAAAGCTGTCGGCAGAGACATCACAAAGTACAGTCAGAGACCCTGGCTTCTCATCCGGCATGCAAGTAGCTTAGAAGGTGACGTTCCTAATCCTCACCAGAAAAAAGCTAACACACTTGAAACCAGTAACTCAGCTCTAGCTAAGCATTAGTCACAGGGCTAACTTCTGTCTCTAAAACTGGAAAGAGAAACAGAAAAGTAGCCATTTGGAAACAGGCTCACAATATTCTGTTCTTAAGGAGTCCTGTCCTCAAAAGATTGTTTCACTAGAGCCTGACTGGGATTTTTTCCAGCACCTAAATGACAAGGGGGGAGGGAAACAGCCAACCTGAGTCCCTCTAGTCTTCCTACTGACCTCAGCTGAGGATGTCTGTTTGGTGGGGAGACAGAAACACTATGAGGCTCATAGGCTTTTTTTTTTTTACTCCTGACAAGAAATATGTGGTGGTTTTCAACACCAGTTTCCTAACACACCAACAGGGTAGCCTACAATTCGATTCAACTCAACTCTAACACTAACCTTAGTGTCAGACAGTTTAATGTCTCAGTCCCATAAGACTGCCCCCTGTCATATAACAGCCACAAAGGCGGTGGTGGGCGGGGGGGGGGGTGCCCAGGCTACATTTGTGCATGGCTCTGCATGGGCAACTACAAATTCAGAGATTCCCTAGATAATCCCTCATGTTTGTTAATTCTATAGAAGCAGTATTAGAGCTAAGAAAATTGCTCATTACTGGTTTATTGTAAAAGACAGAACTCAGGACCAGCCAAATGGCGAGGGTTCACAGGGCAAAGTGGGAGGTGGGGAGAGAGCTTCTTCCACGCCCTCTGCAGACGTGACACCCTCCAGCCACTGCTGTGCTCACCAACTTGGGATCTCTGAATTCAGAAGTTTAGGAGTTTTGACGGTATTCATTGCCTTGCAGAGGCATGACTGATGAAATCACTGGTGTTATGGTGATTGTCTCCATCTCCTGCTCCTTCCGCTCCCCAGAGGTTGGGGGCTGGGCTGAAAGTTATAAGCCTTAAAATCATAGTCTCCCTGGTGACCAATCCCCACCCTGAAGCCATCTAGGCAGGAGCACACAGTGCCTCATTAGAACATAAGATGCTCCAGTCACCCTATCACTCAGAAAGTCTTAGGAGGCCCTTGCTGGGAACCATGGACAAAGACCAAACATTTTTCTTACACCAAAGAAGGTCAGAGCCCAGGGACATGGCTCATTAAATCTGAGACCAAATCCTAGGACTATAGAACATGTCCTCTCCACCCACACCACACCATTATATCAGGGAGACTGCTCCTTAGTAACAGTGCAATATACTCAAAGAAATGCACGTTTCAGAGCTTATTGAGACGCCTCTGTGAGAACCCTAGAGACGAAGTGGGTGACAAAAGCAAGGACCCCTGAGGATCTGTAGCCTCTGACAGCTGCCGCGAATAGTAAACACAGCACAACCCTGGGCAGATAAACACAGAGCCTCAGATACTAATGGCCCACTTCCCTCAGTTCGCTTTTCACAATACATCATGCCCAGCATTCAGCAGAAGACCAAAAGGCTGCTAAAAGGCTTAAAACCACAGTCTGAAGAGACAGGACAAGCAAAAGAACCTGATTCAGATGTGTCAGACAGGCTGCAATCATCAGACCAGAAATGTAAAGTCACCATGATTAATA